AAAAAGCCAAAAAGTTACTAAAAAAGCATGTTCCCAAACGAGGCCTTAATTTCTAATCACAACCTTTTCATGGTTTTGTTAGTCTTACCACATGGGGGATTTCTAATCCAAGAAGATAGTTAATTCTCCCACTCATATCACCAACCAAACACTCCTTAGGTAGGTCTCACGGATTATTAGTCCGATCCCCCTTCCCAAAAGAGTCAAACAAACATGGCCAAAAGGTTTGAAACATGAAGAAAGTAAGGCCATGTTTGTTTACTGGTATGGGAGGGTAGATTTGAGTGTTATGGATGTGGGTCCCACCCACAGCTTGTTTGGTGGTGTTTTGGGAGGGGGAGTAATAGTCCGACGAGCTTAGTAATCCCTCGCAATAGGGGATTAGCTTGTTGGATTTTGGATGGGATTAGAAAAATAGTGAGCAGATTGAGTCTATTTTATTTAAAAGTTTTATTTTTTTACCAAGTACACTTGTTTGTTTTAATATTTGTTTTAATTTTTTTTAACATCACTAATCATCTCCCATACTATCATCGTAACAAACACACTTTTACTTAATGTCCCCACTAACAATCTCCACATTAACAATCCTTTCACTAACCATCCCAGGGTGAGCCCTGGTTTTGAGAATTCTCACGTAAATTGTGTTGCGAAACTCTAAGATGGCACGGGACTTATTTGAACCCTTTTCGGTATTCGGTTTTGGAATAAGGGTGGATGTGCAGGTGGCACACAGGGAGGTTGCTTACCCCTGGCAGACCGTTTCCTTGGGGCAGACCACGGATGCCACTACTTGGGTATATAACTCCGGACGTGGGCATCCCTGGTAGTTACGGTTGGTAACACTTAAATATTTGACTAAGGGAGGGTTTCAAATTAACCGTTGCCATGCTTAGTGTTTGGTGAGTTAAATCTCTTTGGTGAGATTTCGAGTGTCACCTAATTTATTAAAATTACTGAAACTATTCTAATGGTTGTAATTTCTGTGTATAATTATATTGTTATCTCATGTTTAGAATATTATTATTTGTCTCTTAAAAAGAATGGTAGGTTGGTTACGTTTTCTTACTGTGTTGCAAAACTCATGGCATATATTTTGTTGCCCTGGCGTTTCATGCCAGATTATGTTGAAGAAGGGACTGAGGCTGAAATTGGAGCTGCTGCCAATATCGAACCTTGGCTGACTTAGAGTCAATATTTTGTCAGAATAAAATCCTGTTATCTCTTGTATTAGGATTAAACTATGTTGTGACGTTGTGTGTGAACTTGTAGTTTTATTCTGTCGTTGGACTTTGGCTTTGTAAGAACTTAAAAGTTCCTAACTAGTAGTTAAAATTTTATCTAGCAAGTTATTGTTATTTAAAATCTTATGACGTTTCAAAAAAAAAAATTTTTTTTTTTGGGGCGTCACACATCCTCTCACTAACAATTACATCCAACCTAATCCGCTAAACAAACGTAGCCTAAAATCTTAGGTCATGTTTGTTTGGCGGATTAGATTAAATAGGGTTATGAGTATAGTGGGATTGAGTGAGCAAATTAGTAATGTGATGATATTAAGTTGGAGACATAAGATAAAGAGTGTTTATTTATACACTATTAGATTAATAATACCATAACAATAATATATATTATTTTATAATTTTATAAGATTTTATAGATTTTTATATATTTTAAGTGTTTATATAAAATTATTATAAATAATATATTACAATTTAACCTTCTTTTTTTTCTTCAAATAGGATATACTTTGTCTTTATAACATATATAATATTATTATAATAAGAGAAAGATTCCGTGGATCACCCACCATATATATATTATGTATTAAATCGCCTATATAACATTATTAAATTATACAATATAACATAAAATAAATTCCAACGCTAAGTCGTTGCATTGTTTTCACAATCCTATCTTCGACTAGGGAAAGTTAATTCCATTACAGTATAGGAGTAGCATTCCACTTGGAATAACAATCCAGGAGTAAATACATTGAATGAAAAATATATGGGTAATCATATTAACTGATGCGGAAATAGTTTGGATCGGATGTTTGAATTACGAGTCTCGTCTGAAAAAACTCCCTATCAATTGAGAAACTACTAGTGTTTCTCAATATTTATCCACACTCCAAATTCCTAAGCTTTCAAACTGGTAGTCTCAAGATAGATGAATATAGAGAAAATTTATTGTTTTGGTGTGTCTATACAATGTTGAGCATGAGCTCTTATATAGGCATATATAGCAAACCATGCATATCTCATGGTTAGGCCACACTATGTATACCACATGTCCAAAACCATGTGTCCCTTATGGTTTCCAAGACCATGTGTCCCTTATGGTTAGGCCATGTGTGGATAGACCATGTGTATCATGTGGCCTTCAAGGTTAGGTCACACCATGTATACCACATGGTTTCTAACATATGATTTCCAACATCTCCCACTCATCCACACATCCACATTATGTGTTATATGGTCAATCGTCATTTCTCAATCTCTCATTCAATCTACCCCTTATACAGAAAAATAGAACATACGACATGACGAGAAGGTATAAGATAGGAGTGTTATATTAAGTCACCATAAACTAACATAGCACATCACGTGAAATATCTTGTCTAATCCCTAGATTCATTGGATCATACCAGATCAAACATTTTAAAACTCTTCGCGAGTCATAATTCATAAGCATGCTTGATCTCAACATTGTATATGTACTCATGATTATATCGTGATCTTAAATCTGACACAATCGCCCGGGCAATGAGTTACAGTACAAGGTTATGATTTCCAACAATCTTCCCTAGCAACTCATGTCCATTCAATCAAACTTGACCGCTTTCCTAGACATGATCCTCTAGATCGTATTCATCACGACCCTTAGATGACATGCTAAAGTAGTGACATCAAGTCATCACTTCATGACATAATTCTAGGTTCAAGGGTATAGAGTGCTAGAGCAAGGATCCATCTAGCCACTTCTTTAAGTGGTCGACGGTAGCACATACAGTATGATATGTATGCTATGGTGGAGCTCCCACTAAATTTGGTCTGTCACTCTCTAACGCTATGCGAATCTTAGTCTAGTCGTTATACAAGCGCCTAACCTGAGTTTCTTAGCATATTCGCTCATCAAGCACTTATCTAAGACCTCACATTCGGCTATATTCAGGCTTCATAAAGCTGTGGATAACTTCATGTTTGACTTTTTAGCCAATGTTAAAGCGACATCTTAAAATAATAAATCAGTTTTGTTTACTTCTCAAGTTACAAAACATTTACCTCACTCACTCTCTAAGCACCAAGATAACAAATGTCTCATCTCCTCGCTCTACAAGTGCCAAGGTGATTGCCAATGTGAAAAGGCTGATCTAAGCCTGGTGACATCATATACAACGTGTGCTAATAGTATCAGTTACGCCATAAAACCACATGAATAAATAATTATGCATAAGATACTCAAAAAATATCCAACAAAGTCAATGAGGTATCCACAAAACATCAAATCCTGCGAAAATCCTAAACTCCTAACATGAGTTTGGAAAACGTCTCTAGCAGTAGCTTTAGTAAGTGGATCAGCCACCATCTTGCTAGTGGAGATATGTTGTAAGACTACCTCTCCTCGTGTAACCACATCTCGAATAAAGTGAAATCTAATGTCGATATGTTTGGTTTTACCATGATACTTGGGATCCTTAAAATATGCCAAAGCTGCCATACTGTCGATATAGATCATAACAACTTCATCTGTAAGAGCTGTGATCCCAAGCTGCTGAAAGAACCTCCTCAACCAAACAGGCTCTTGTACTGTTGCTGAACTAGCAACGTGCTCTGACTCCATCATGGACGAAGTAGTGCATGATTGCTTCTTACTACACCAAGAAATAGTTGCTCCACTAAGTAGGAATGAATAACCAATGGTAGACTTGCGCTCATCTTTATCAGTAGCCCAGTTTTTGTCACTGTATCCCTTTAGTCTCAAATCTCCACCTTGATAGCAAAGTATGAGATCTGTCGTCCCACGAAGATAGTGAAAAATTTTCTTCACTGCTTGCCAGTGAACAAGTCCTGGGTTACTTTGGTAATGACTGAACAATCCCACTTCAAAACATATGTCTGGTTGAGTACACATCATGGCGTACATCAGATTGCCAACTGCACTCCCATATGGAATTTTTGCCATTTGTTTCTTTTCTTCATTTGTCTTAGGGCAAGAGTCAAAGCTCAGATTACGTCCCTTCTTAATTGGAGTGTCAATGGGTTTGGAATAGTGCATACGAAATTGTTCCAAGATCGTCTTAATATAAGTCTCTTGAGACAAACCATGAAGCCTCTTAGAGAGATCTCTAAGGATCTTAACTCTAAGCACATAATTTGCATCTTCCATGTCCTTCATTTCAAAAGTAGAGGACAACCATTCTTGAGTGGCGTCAATCATCTCCATGTCATTTCTAACTAATAAAATGTCATCAACATACAATGATAGAATAATGAAACTCTTTCCTGATCGTTTGACATACACACAATGGTTTTCCTCCATCATCTCAAACCCAGTTAAAACAATGGCTTTATGGAATCTAAAGTACCATTGTCTAGATGATTACTTTAAACCATAAATGAAATGTTTGAGGCGGCATACTTTGCACTCTTATTTATTGACCTCAAGGCCTACTGGTTGATCCATATAGATCTCTTCATCTAGTTCTCCATTGAGAATGCAGTCTTAACATCCATTTGGAAAAGTTCCAAATCCAAATGTGCGACAATAGTTACAATTAGGCGAATAGAGGCAAATCTCACCACCGGGGAGAATGTTTCATCATAATCTATACCCTCTCTTTGGTTATGGCCTTTCGCCATAAGATGGGCGTTATACTTATCGATTGTCTCATTAGCCTTGAGCTTAATTTTTAAGACCCATTTGTTACTAATGGTCTTGCGCCCAGGTAGAAGGTTAACCAACTCCCAAACTTGGTTCTAAGCCATAAAACTCATTTAATCCTTTATAGCAATCGTCCACTCATTAGCATGAGGTGAAACTAATGCTTCCTCATAGGAAGCAGGCTCATCAAGATCCAATGAAGTACACATGAAACATTCCCCATCAATCCTATAACAACGATGATGAATGCTTCCACGTTCACTTCTACGTAACTGGGATCCTAGTGAGTCATTTTCTGATAGAACTCTCTCACTAGGAGGTAAATCACTCCCACTATCTTTGGCAATTTCATGATAAGTCTCTAATTCTTCACCCTTACCAAAAGATGGTGTGATTTCCTCAAAATCTTGCAGCTCATAATGCAAGATCTTTATTTACTGCACCAATACTAGAAAATTCATTCTCAATGAAATTGACATCTCGCAACTCATTTTCAGTCATTCCACCACTAAGGAGGTTGGCTTGCGCCATCATCGATTTAACGATATCAAGTAAAGTGCGATTCCATCTCTCTACTACACCATTTTGTTGTGGAATCCTTGGAATCTTTAATTGCCTACATATCCTCTTTTCCTCACATAGTCCTTGAAACTGATGTGATAAATACTCATGCCCTGGATCTATTCGAAGGATTTTCAATTTCTTGTCTGTTTGATTCTCAACTAGTGCAACAACGCACTTGAAACAATCCAATGCCTCAAAGCGATATGAGATCAAATAGACATAATTAAATCGTGAGTGCTCATCAATAAATGTAAGGAAATAAGAAGCGCCATGGTGTGCCTTTACATTCATAGGTGCGCTAATGTCAGAGTGAACTAACTCTAGAGGATATAAAGCCCTAAGTGCCTTTCCAAAAGTCTTCCTATAGGCCATTGGAAAGAAAACCATATCCATACAAGACTTTATTTACATATAAACCCAACTGATCGCCATCAAAATGAAAACTAAAACCAAATCCTAACAAAACAATAACTGATAAAAGATTACATTGGATACCAGGCGCATAAAGCACGTCATAGAGGAGTAAGATGCCCGAAACGCATCTTGAGCTGATAAGAACCAACTCCAAGGACATCCTCACGAGTTTCATTACCCAAGGTAATGTACTGCTTGCCAACAGGTATCTTTTTGTAATCCATAAACCCAACTCTTTCTCTAGTTATGTAGCGGGTGGCTCCTGAGTTTTCTTTGCATCAGGGCATTCTCGAGCAAAATGATCTAACTTCCCACAGTTATAGCAATTGACTTTAGTTTAATCTTTGTTTCTAGGGCGCTTGCCTCGACAATGCTTCATTACATTACCTTCCTTAGCACCAAGGTTACTAGCTGCACCACCATGTCTTTCTTGTTTATTATACTTAGGCTTGAATGCCTTACATTGCCCATCTTGAGTGACAAGGACAATGCTGCGGTACGACCACAGGCACTCCGCTTCAAGCTCAAGGTGACGGGAAATATCAGCAAAATTCTTGGTATTCTCATTGTGTGCAAGCATAAGTTTCATTTGCCTCCATGAATCGGGCAAAGAACATATCATAGTTGTAACCTGTTACTCATCAGTAAGAAAATTACCATTAGCCTTCAAATCACGTATTATGGCTGACATAGCTCTAAGATGCTCAACCATTGAGTGTTTTGGATCCATAGCATATTGCTCAAATTTCAAAATTAGAGCACGTAACCTAGTTGCAGATGTGGTCTCATAGGTAATTTTCAATTGATTTCACATATCAGGAGTAGTGGGGCCTACCTCAAACTCCCCAATGAGTTCATTGTGCATGCTGCTAAGCATAGTATAGCGCACTGGTCTCTCCTGACCCATTTCTCATAGTTTTTCATGTCACGGTGATTTTCGGCAGTGGTCCATTCCTTAGGACAGATCATAAGGGTAGTCAAAGTGTGTAAGACTTCTTGTTCATTAAGCAAGTACTGAATTTTTTGGTGCCATGTATCATAATTGGACCCATTCATTTTTTCTCATTTGGTGAGGCCAGCTACAACATTCTTAGAGGCCATTTCACTGATGGTATTGCACAGGGTTTGACATTAGTACACATTTTTTAATTTTAAATTTTATTTCCAAAAACACAATTGGCATGCAATATTTCCACTTACATAGAGAAATTGAAAATTTCGCTAAGCTCATAATCATCTCCCTTTATATGGGCTAAAATATAGCACCCAATTAATTTTTGAATAAAATTATATAAGAGGCAAAACCATCTCTTAAATCCGCAACATGAAACCATGCATAATATGTGATATCCCAAATTCTACACTAAAAAAATTGAAATCAAGGTAACGTCACTACAAAGTCCTTTTGGTCAATAACCAAGTAAGATTCTAAGAAGGTTAGAGGAGTCAATACAGCATCCCTTCTAACTCCAACCATCTTAGATAGTAGAACTATCTTTTTGACAGATCTTAAGAGGTATTAACATAAGGTCTCATGAGATAAAATATCCCCTCAACTTTTCTTTGCTTTAAGCAAAGTAGTGATTGAAGAGGGATAATAAAAAAAATTACAATATTAAAAGGAGTCAATAATTAATATGACATGAAAAAATAACTTTCCAAAATTTCTTCCAAAAACAACGATTTGGACAAAAAATCTTTGAAAAATCATAACTTTTTCGATATAATTCTGATTAAAGCCCATTTTATATAGATGGAAACCCCATGAAGTGATTTCAAAATATGAAAATTTCAGTTACATAAAACTAAATTTTTTATACTGATTTTTTGAGATAAAAAATCTGCTCTTATGGAGTTTTCCAAAAACTCTTCTCAACATGCCATGATAAACATTGAATTAAACATGAATAAAACAAATCAATGGCATGCAAATCATATGAGGCGAAAGTAAGCAATATAGCTCTGATACCAATGAGGAAAAAATATACAGGAAATCATATTACCTGATGTAGAAATGGTTTGGATAGAATGCTTAAATTACGAGCCTCGCGTGGAAAACCCCCCGTCAATTGAGAAGTTACTAGAGTTTCTCAATATTTATCTACACTCCAAATTTCTAGGCTTTCAAGATGGTAGCCTCAAGATAGATGTATAGAGAGAGAAATAATTGTTTTTGGTGTGCTTACACAATGTTGAACATAAGGCCTTATATAGGCATAAATGATAAACTATGTATATCTCATGGGTAGGCCACCCCATGTATCCCTCATGGTTTTCAAGACCATGCGTCCCTTATGGTTAGAACATGTGTGGATAGACTATGTGTACCATGTGGCCTTTAAGGTTAGGTCATACCATGTGTACTACATGGTATATCACATGTTCCAACATATGATTTCTAACATAAATCAACCAAACAAGTTATACGTAGATTCCACCTCATTTATACTCCAGTCTACCCTCTGAGTTAGCCAAACAAATGAGCCCTTAGATCCTAAATCTATACCACTAAGGCCTCTTTTGGCAAGAAGTTAAAAGTAGTTTTTTGGGCTTTAAATCCCTTTTAAATCACATCACCTTTTTTTTTTACGCATTTAAAAAAAAAAAACTAAAAAAAGTTAAAAAACTAATTTTTAACCTACTTTTCAAAATAACCCTAAGTCAACTTCTAAAGGTTGTGTTGTTAGATTATCTCCAATGATTACTCAAAATTGTCATCAAATTTAAATTTGATGAAAAATAGTTTCTTTTCCTACTCCAACGGTTTCGTCCAATATGTATCAAATTCAAGATTTCATTTTTCTTTTATCAAACTGAGAACCAATGTGCCTTTCATCAAATCATTGTTCATTGCCATTGGATTTTCACCATCGGATGTCCCTCAAATGTCTCCCTAGATGACCACCTCAAGGTAAAAATCTGTGAAAAAATTACATTGGCCGGTCGTCCACTCTGTCGACCAGTGATTTGATGAAACAGCAAAACCTTCCGTTGGAGTACTTGATATCAAATTTTTTTTTTTCTAAAATTTGATAAAAAAAAATTGATATACCAGTGAAGATACCCTTACAACTTAAAATAAAAATGATTATAACATATTTTAATTTGGATATTAGTGTAACTTTTATTTATAGTTTATTAAAAAAAATTTAAAATTAATTATCTACAAATTAAAAAAATTATTTTTATTTTTTAATTATCAACATTTAAACTCTAATAATTCTACCAGCCATCATGAGCAGAGACGACGTGAATGAAATACATTACCCAATAAAAAATGGTTGAGACCATTAGAAGTAGTGTTCTAATAGCACCATTAGTGATATAGTAGTAGGTCCCATCCACTGTCTATGCTTATGTCTTGTTTTGTTTGTTTGTTTTTATTTTTTTTATTTTTTTGACATTCTCCATATATTAATAATATTAGTAATTCTTTTTTTAATGGTATGACTAATTATTGTTACGCAATTGTGAAGTTGTGTCCATGGGGACAAGTATCAGTGGGGTGACTTCAAGTACCAATAATTTGTACCTGGAAGTTGGCAAGAGTATTTTACTCGGTACTTTAAATTTAATGTAGCATTTTAATAATTATTATCTGCAGCATACGTGATATCTCTATAATTTAAATAATTAATAATAATAAATTTAATATTATAATATGTATATTATTCAAGTAATAAATATATTATTCAAGATTTTGGGCTCAAAATTTGTTTACGTTGTGTATAATAATTTTTTTATTTTAATATATATAAAGTTGTCATGTGGCATGAAGAGAAAAAAAAAATATTATGCATCTCAAACAAATTACCAAATTTTCTACGAAACATCTCGCATGAGTGTAGGACCAATACCCATGTGATTTGTGTAGGTCCCACACTTATGTGAGAGGTTTGATAAAAAATTTAGTAATTTGTTTGGGATCCTTAGTATATCAGGGAAGAAGGTTTCACCAAGCTAACTTAGACTTTGACTTAATAATAGTATAAATAGATAGATGGATGGATATTTACATATTTTCATATTAATTTTAGAGTGATGGTTGAGACCCCGCCCACAAGACCCCACAAATCTGAACCACTCATGATGTAGACCCCGCACATATATGAGTGGGTCCCACACATACATGGAGGGCCAAGATCAATTTAGGATTGTAGGGGTCATCTCCAAAGAGGGTCCCAAACATTTATCCTAATTTTATTTGGTATCTCAAAAGTGGATGTGATTTTTTGCATCATCATTTCATGTTAATTTTGACATGAAAACCCCTTAATATATATATATATATATATATATATATATATATTGGCTTTTTTTTGGTCCTCAAACAAAGAGTTTAAATTTTAAAAGTAATATAATAATAATTTTGACATATCAAGTGGAGATTTTCATGTCAAATTAGAATATGTCAATTTGTTATTATTAAAAAAGTAATTAATTGTTAATTTTCAGCTATAGTTTGTAAATTTTGTCACAAAAAATGTCAGTATAAATTTTAGAGACAGTTTAAAAAATTGTCAAAAAAATATCACTAATTTTTAACTTTTAAAAAATTCGTCACAGAAAAATATCACTAATTATAAGTTTTAGCTACAATTTTTAAATATCGTAACCAAAAAAGTCACTAATTTTTAATTTTTAGCAACATGCAAAAAATTGTCACAAAAACTTATTTTTGGCGACGATTTAATTGGGACATATTTTCAATAGATTTTGATATGAATTAAGTCAAACTATTAGGACATATTGGTAATTTACCCAAATATATCTAAATTTGTTTGGGAATGAGAGAAAATAGGCAAAAAAATCACAAAGTCATTATAAATTGTCGTATTATTTCTTTTAATTTTTTACATATCTTTTCGTAAAAAAATTAAATAATCAACTAAAATAGTTAATTTTCAAATAGGTGTCTTTTTTTAATAAATAATTCATATTTTTCAAAACAAATATAATAAAATAAAAATATT